TTATATTATTAGAAAATGATATTTTATTTTCGGCAATTTATGAGTTTTAAGATATAAGCCGAATAACACGTTGTTCTATGCGACAGCCGCACAAACCACAACCACAGTGATTGACTGTTTTGACTAGACTGCGTTACCCGGAATTTTTTTTAACACGCTTTTATTAGCTTCACCTGTATGTATGTATGTATGTATGTATGTATGTTTGTAACTCTCCTTTGGACTAAAAGCAAGTGGCTTATTACTGTCAGTATTCAGTATATTCCACTGCCTCAAGTTCGTTTGTTGGCTGAGCGGTCTAAGGCGCGGGTCTTCGCTCACGTCGACTCACCGATCGTGGGTTCTAATCCGGTCCACGACTGAAAAAAAATTAATTGTTTTTTTTTCAGCAATTTTTTTTTAATAATTAATCGAACTAAAAAGTGAAAAATAAAATAGTTTAAAAAAACTAAAAAACACGCTTTTAGAAAATATCAAACTAAAAAGTTAAAAAGAATTTTTCAAATAAGCTTAAAACAATAATAAATGGAAAATACTAGTATTATTGTAAAAAAAGCGTGGGGTGCTTTGTCCATATTTCTCGTACATCGAGCACCCGACGCTTTTTTCACAATAATACTAGTATTTTCCATTTATTATTGTTTTAAGCTTATTTGAAAAATTATTTTTAACTTTTTATTTTGATATGCTCTAAAAGCGTGTTTTTTAGTTTTTTTAAACTATATTTGTAAATCATGTCACTTTCATTGGTATGTACCTTAAAGGTTAACAATTATTAATAATTATTACACTCAGTCAGTGATTTTGACACACGTTTTTGCGCACTAACTACTGCAGTTAGCTACATGTAAATAATTAATGATAGACATTTTAACGTCATTTCGGAGAAAAAGAATATATAAGCGATTTCGTTCTTTTTTAAATACACAAGCCGGACAATCGAAACTGAATCCGGAATCGGTCATGTAGAATTTTTAACAAGGAAACTGCATCCCGGGTACAACAAAAATCCGCGGTGCAAATTTTATTACTACTAAAATTCTACGAAAATTTAACCAAAAAAATGTTAAAAAATGGGACATGCATATAACAGAATTATTTGAAAATATATTTTTATATACTGGTTATTCCAGTAATAATTAACATAGTAATAATTGTTTTGACTTTTAATTAGCTTTAGTTCCAGGTATAAACAGATTATCTATAGGGTAGGATTTTAAAAATAAATTTTAGTTCGTCTTTGTCTTTTTGTTGGTGTCTTTTTGTTGGTGTGCAGTTTGTAATAATAGAAGCAACATTTTGTTTAAGTGATAGAGGCATGTCATTATTGGCAATTCATAGCTATACAGTCAGTTTTCAAAAATTGTTAGCCAATAAAACAGTAAAACGATGGCAATGCAGTAAGAAAATATGTAAGGCATTTGTGAAAACCCAAGGATCTGACAATACAATAGTGCAATCAGTTTTGGATCACAATCATAAAAAGTTATCCGATTAAGTTTTTAACAGACATCTCGTGAGTAATTCAGTTTAACGTAGAGCTGTGGAGGACATTTGTGAAAAACCCTTAAAACTCATTAGAAACGAAATTAAAAATTATGCAGTTGAGACCTTAACCACAAAGGACATAGTAAGAAAAAGGTAAAATATATACAATGCTAGATCTTGTCTTCTTTTTAAAAAGAGGGTTTTAGTAAAACGGTTTGTATGAATTACTTTGCATTTAGGGTTTCTTAATAGAACGTTTAGAGTTTTTTACTTTGGGGTTTTAGTTTGATGGTTTCCGGTTAAGGGTTTTAGATTGTAATTGAGCTTCATGGGTTGTAATTGAGAGTGTGAAGGTTTCAGTGTCATAGAGTATCTGCTTTAGCATTTTAGTTTTACGTTAAATTTAAGCGTTTGAGTTTACATTTCTGTTTGAAGGTTCCAGTTGTACAGTTTGGGATTTTAAATTAATTTTGAGTTGCGATGTTTTTTACTTAAATAATTTAGCTTGCGTTTCTGCTTTAAGGTTTGCGTTGTAGTTTCAGTTTAAGGTTTAGAGTTTTTTTTTTGTCTGTTTGCAGGCTTTAGTTGTACTTTTTGGGGGTTTTGTTAGGCATTTTAGTTTGGGGTTTTGATTTGAGAGTTTGTTGGTTTTTGCTTGGGCGTTTCAACTTGTGGGCTTAAGTTTAAGGGTTGAAGGCTTTAGTTGTATAGCTTGGGGATTTTTTTGGGATTTTCTGCGAAAGCGAAACTTCAGGTTTTCGTAAAACTTGGTCTTACCATGGAAAATCAAGATGTTGTAAAAGGCATTAGAAGGGTTCTTTTTTTCTAGCTGAAGAATTACACTGAATTACTCAAGTGATGAAAGAACTACCGTCAACCGGGGATATATCGGATCACAGGTGTAATATCGGACGATATGGTTATATTTCAAGTTTCGCGCGCTACAAGCGTTGGGTGACAGTTAGGTTACAAAACAAACATATTTCTAGACTGACAGATAATCTGTCAATCGTACATGCGTTTCGTGCTCGATCAGAAAATTCAGGTAAGCTCACAAAAAAATAATTATTAGAGTCACTTTTTTCGCTAAAATTATGACCGCCAAATAGTCTCCTCTGGCCTGTGAACCCTGTGCATGCTATCTACACGGTGCAATGGGATTAATATTTGTTTTCAACCTTATCAAGACTCCCATAACCTCAAAATTTATTTTTGCACTTTCCTTTTCTCAAAAAATCGAAATTAAGAGAAAATTGTTTTTTCAGGGGATATATCGGACATGCCACGAAAACACCTTCATAAGCTAGGAACGCCGTATCGGCGTAATTATTCTTAAGAAAACATGGAAAGGGCATTGTTGGCAGTGGTGGATGGCCACTATTCTTTCAAGCAGGCAGCAGAACTACATGGGGTACCAAAAAGCACCCTGTACGATATTTACAAAAGTGAGCATTCCGACAAACTCGGGAGGCCCCCAGTTTTATCTGTGATAGAAGAGCGTTGGATGGTGGATGCAATGATAATTGCAGGAAAGTTCGGATATCCTTTCGAAAGGCAAGCAGTCAAGGACTTCGTAAGCCATTATTTAAACGGTAAGGGCGTAAATATACAATGTTTCGACAATAATAGACCTGGTGATGACTGGATTGAATACTTTATGGGGCGACATAAGGAGTTATCACTCCGTAATTGTGAAAATATTAAACGAGTTAAAGCTGAAATCACAGAAGTGACGATTAGAGAATATTTTGAGAACTTGAACGAGACAATTCCACCTGAAAATATTGTTTTTATTCCTAGAGGAGAAAAGCATGCACGAAGGATAATGGATTTTTCCAAAACGTCAACGTCTGTTATGTTCGCTGCAGCTGGAGATGGCACTTGTTTACCTCCATACGTTGTGTACAAAAGTATAAACCTCTACCCAGAGTGGATAGAAGGTGGTCCAGAAGGTTCGCAATATAACAGAACACAAAGTGGATGGTTCGACACACAATGTTTTGAGGACTGGTTCTTCAAAATAGCTCTTCCCTATCTGCGACGAAAGGAGGGCAAGAAGGTTCTTATTTGCGACAACCTAGCAAGCCATATTTCTTACCGCATTATTAAAAGTTGCACAGAAAACAACATTCAATTTGTATTTTTGCCGAAGAATTCGACACACTTATGTCAACCCCTGGACGTTGCAGTGTTTGGACCGCTCAAACGCGTGTGGCGAGAAATTCTTACCGAATGGAAACGGACCCATAAAGGAGTTGTACCGAAATCTGTGTTTCCTTCGCTGCTGAAGAGTCTTCTGGAAAAATCGAAGGATCGCATGTCGAATAATATAGTTTCTGGTTTTCGAGCAACGGGCATAATCCCATTTAATCCAGAACTAGTTTTGAAAAGCATTCGGAAACAACCAGCAGAAGGCACAAATGAAGTAATGAAAGAGTCGTTTACAGAAGTGATGAACGCGATTGTGGCTCCTTTGGACCAAACTTCGACTAGACCCAAGCGTAAGGCAAAGATTAATGTCCTACCTGGCAAATCGGTGGGTCTGGACGACTTGTGAGAAGTGAATGGTGGTATGTCAACTTCATCTACCTCTCAAGAAGATGTCATTAATAGAAACGCATCTATGTCCCAAGAAAACGATATACTTAACGATGATTCCACGTCTGAAGTGCCGGACGATGTTTCCTCGTCTGAAGTACCAAATGTTGAACTTCCAGTAACCTGTTATACGTTAAAAGAAGGGTGTTTTGCAAGAGTTAAGTTTTTGTACAATGAAGGAAGCAAGAAGGAAAGGACAAAAGAATTCGTGGCGCGAATTGAAAAGATTGCCAAAAATCATATTATGATGAGAATGAAATAAAACTTCAACAAGTCAGTAGTGTTTTAACTGCGCCTAAAATACATCGTGGAGTTCATGTGTTTGAAGGTCTACAGTGGTAGAGTTGTTTTTTATTATTTGAAGTTCCTATGTTAATTTGTAGAGTTAAGAGTTTAAAATATTATTTTTAATTTTTTATCTAGTCTTTAATGTTTATTTTTCTGTTTTTTATTATTTGAAGTTCCTATGTTAATTTGTAGAGTTAAGAGTTTAAAATATTATTTTTAATTTTTTATCTAGTCTTTAATGTTTATTTTTCTGTTTTTTATTATTTGAAGTTCCTATGTAAATTTGTTTTTTGAATAAAGATGGTTATCTTTTATTTTCTCTTTTACCGCTTCACCCTGTACCTTGCATAGAATTTTTTTTCGATAAAAAATGTCCGATAAAGGTTTCTGACCAAACCTATACCGAACACCAGGCTCAAAACGTACTTTTCCAATGTAAAAATTGAAGCGTCCGATATAACCCCAAACCCCGGGTTATATCGGACGAACTTCAAAGAGAAAAAAAAATAACCGTGACATCTTTTAAAAGACTTTTTTATGTAAATATGCTTACTAGGTTAACTTCTTACTATAGAATGTATTAGGTAGCTTTTATTACGTTAAACAAAAGAAATACAGGCAGATAAATGAAAATATCGTCCGATATATCCCCGGTTGACGGTACTTTTACTAAATCGGAATTAACTAAGCTCCTAAATGATTTACGGACTTATTGCGATAAAGGAGCTCTTGATTTTGATACTCCAGGAGCACTAGGTAAAGAAGATTACTTTCGTCTCACTGGAGTTTTAGCAGCAGACTTTAATAAGCTTTTCGCAAAAGTAAAAAATTGTATACGCAGTACCACGGTTAGGAGCGCTCGCACAAGTTTGGTAATATGCCTCATGAAATTGAGAACTGATCTTTCCCATACAATTCTGTCAACACTCTTTCGAATACCCAGAAGAGCAATCGGCAAAGCAATAGATTCAGCAAGAGAAGCTTTGGTAAATGATTTTGTTCCAGATTACTTGGATTTGGATCATGTGTGTCGGGATGAGTTAATTAATAATCATTTAACTGATATTGCCAAAAAAACTTTATGCAGAAGATGATGATACGGTAGCCATCTTAGTTGTAGATGGTACGTATGTGTACATACAGAAAAGAAGCAATTATTCCTTCCAACGCCGCAGCTTTTCCATGCATAAAGGTAGACAAGTAGTGAAGCCAATGATGATAGTCAGCACTACGGACTACATTTTGGATGTATTTGGCCCTTATTTCGCTGACGGCAAAAACAATGATGGTCACATAATGAACAGCTTAATAAAGCAGAAAGGTTCTGAATTGTTGGGATAGGCACAACCGGATGACATCTTAATTGTAGACCGAGGTTTCCGAGACTCAATAAAAATACTGGAAGAGCATTTGTTGATACCAAAGATGCCCAGATTTGTAGACAAAAGTTCACAGCTTGCACATTGGATGCCAATTCATCACGATTGGTAACCAAAATTCGCTGGGTCGTTGAATCGGTGAATGGTTTAATAAAAACCTGGAAAGCTCTTGGGCAAGTATTCCCTAATACTCAAATCCCTTATATAAGGGATTATGTCAGAATTATTTGTGCCATTTGAAATGCTTTCAGGCCACCTAGAAGGGAAGCTTCAAAGCCTGATGATGAGATAATAGCACAAAGAATGCTAAATCTCAATAATAAAGAATACCCTTAAGAAATATGCAGAAGACAATCGATGGGAAAGAAAAACTGTTACTATATGGAATAAAGTCGACGGTTCTTCACTTCAAGACTTTCCTCGACTAACATTGGCTGATTTGCATATACTCACCATCGGCGTTTATCAACTGAAGCAAGCAGCATCTTATACTCGAGAGCACTAAGCTGGTAGAATCGCTTCACAAAGAAGAAATTGGAGGGTCAAAATAAAATCCAGACATACATCATCACATCAGTATCAACTTTGGATACGTTATACTAAGGAAGGATTTGACCCTATCCAAGGATGGTATTGCAAATGTAAAAATGGTTCGCGAGTTGTAGGATGCTGTGCGCATTTTTCGTCAGTCCTTTGGTACTTGGGTTATTATAGGCATTTACCTACAAAACCAAAGTACCATAGTGATCAGTATGCAGATTTCCAAGTTGATGCCGCGAACTGGTCTGAGAGCGAGGCTTCAAAAAATGAAGAACAAAAGTGAGTAGGAACAGTTGAAAAGCGTGTAGTGAGAGGCAAGGAGACTCACGGTAATAAAGCACCCCAGTGAGAAGCAAGAGGACTCACGTTAATAAAGCACCCCAAAAGAAACAAATACCTACCACGTCCACGTCGATGTTTCTGGGTAACGCTAAGAGTAGTTTCAATACAATCAGTGGGGGGTCCTGTTTGGGGGGGGGGGGTATGATGAGTGAATTAATATGTAAAAGGGCTTAAGGATAGTAGTCTGGCAAATAGTTAATCACTTATAAGGCATTTGTGCTAGGCTATTATTTTATCATATGGACTGTGAAGGGAATAAGGGAGGGAAGTTATTTGAAGTTCCGTTAATGGTCAAATCGAGTGTATGACCTCTACTTACTGGCATAAGAATTTTTTTTTTGTTTTCGAAATAAACAAAAGGGGCCAAAAAACGGGCTTATAGGCCCTCCTCCTTTCTGTTATCTATTTCTTGTTGGTATGTTGATAGTACATTTAAATATTGTCCCCGTTTTTTACTCAGTTGTTTAAAATTGATGGTCTTCAAAATTATCATTACATTCCATTAGTTTTTTGTCTTCTTTCTAATAAAACATTCTTATCATACAATCTTCTTTTGAAGTATATAATAGAATGTGTCAAACTTAACCACCCTGTTTCGCCAAAAATGATAACAGCAGATTTTGAGATTGCTATGCATAGAAGCATCTACAAGGTGTTCCCAGAAGCAAGTCTACGAGTTGTCGCTTTCACTTAGGATAGTCATGGTACGGAAAAATTCAGGAATTAGGCTTAGCTAGAGTACCAAAAAAAGGAGGAGAGTGAAACGGAAATATCAAAGTTTTTAACCTTTTTTTTTTATTACCATTTCTTCATCCTGAAGATGTAGGCGACATTTTCGCAACTGATTTAACACAAATTAAGCCTGTCAATGAAAAAGTTACGCAGTTTTGTGATTAGCTCGTTGACAATTATATTGCAGAAGACTCATCTGTTTCACTATTTATATGGGCAGAGTATTCTTCTTCTTTGTAGATAACCTCCAATTGTTGTGAGTCTTTCCATTCGGGATATAATGCTCTCTTTTACGCCGCTCACCCTAATGTGAATGTTTTTATAAATGTGATAACTCAATTTCAAATTGACACATATGTAAAAATTAATAGTGTTCTTATCCAAAAAAAATACTTGAAGTTTAAGGAGAAGAAGATTTCTCGAAGACTTGATGAGTTATTTAAATCAACATAAAATAAGTAAATTAGACTTTATTAAAATAATTTGGTATACATTTAGAGCTAAGTTTTAATTATATTTTACAGTTTTAATAAACACTTATATATGTAGTTGTTGTTGAATTATTGCCCATTAGTCAATTTGCAAAATACCTAGAATAATTAATAAAATAACAGAAGTTACTAAAAAGAATCAATATTCTTAAAACCCTACTAGCTAAAAAATATTTTCTGAAAATGTTACTGACTAAATATAAAGAGAATATTTGTAGAATGTTTAATAAACAACGCAAAAAGTGGCAACAATGGCTCAATTTTACAGCTAAATTTGCTTAGCTTACGATTAGTAACCCTTACTTTATGGGGATGCAATTTCGTTGTGACCTTTTTCGAATCAAGTAGGAAACCCTTTTTGGGGATGCAGTTTACGTAAGAGCTACACTGGTTAGTGGTGCTGGAATTAGTAAAATTCAAATCGATGAGGTTATGTTTCTTCAAATGAAAAACAAATTAAATATGCTTAAAATATTTCTGAGAAACATTTTTGAAATCTATAAAAGACCATGTAAACAATGTCAGTTTATCTATATTTTTACATACTATTAAATAAATAATCTACGAAATATCTTCCAACTCTATAGAGGTTCGTTCAATATTACCCATGTATAACCAACGTTTGTTTGTGAATTAGGCGGTGTAGGTTGTAAATTGAGACCACTGTGCAGAAAGTTAATTTATTAGAACGCATACAAATATCTCTTTCAGTAAGTCAATAACGAGTGTATGAAATTATATTTATTTAAATTAGTGACTAAAGGTAATGATGTCAATAAACAATGTAGTTCGTTTTTCACGAAGTACTCAACATAGTTTATTGTCACTGAGTTACTGACAATCAACGAATAAACTCAACTATGAATAATTATTTATCGATTACTAGAAGTAATGTGTTTTTCTTAAAAAATATTTTTAGAGTCGGCGGGTTCTTAGGAATCTTTTCTTTGGGAGGCAATTCTGTAATACAAAATGTCTCTTCTAAGTGTTTTATTATTTTTAATATTTTTGGAATAATTTTTACGCCCTTAGATTTAAAAGCATCAATAATAACACACAAGCTGAAAATAGAAGAAACCATTATTTTTGCAATATCTCATTTTATTCTTATTTCAATGAATGTTTTATGCATTTATGGAATATTTAAGAATAAACATTTTTGGAAAGAATTATTTGATATACTAGACAAATTTGGTAAAGGAATATTGACAAAGACAAAGTCGACACATGATATGCTTAAACTGATTTGTATTCTATGGTTGGTGGTTTTTATTGAATTTACTCAAATATGGTACATAAGAAATCGAGAATTAACTATTACTAGTACATTGACACTTTTTTTGTGGATTTCAACGTATGTAGATAGCTTTATTATAACTTTAGCAATCTGGATGCTTTCAAAGATAGTAACCGCACGTTATTTTATCTTACAAAATTTAATTCAAACAGCGTTTTCCGAAAATTCATTCAAAACGACAACTGGTAAAAGACTGAAGAAAATTCAAATAAATTTATTTTTGTTAAATAGAGCAGTGCTTCTGATTAATAGTATTATGGGGAAAATGATTTTTGCATTGTTAGCAGCTACATTTTTCAACATATTGGCTTTTTTTAACTTTACCATATTTTATTTAAAATTCGGCTATGGTACGGAATTTTTTCCAATTATTATTATAGCTGTCCTATTGTGCTTTGAACTAGTTGTAAGTATGAGCCATTTTTATTTTTTTGTAAAACATATTAGGTATATATACACTTTTAAAAATTATGTATCCGAACTAATAGAAAAAATTTTTAGACGAGGTTCCTATGTTATTGAATTATATCAAATAAATATACTCCGTCCATTATTTATGGAATAATTAAAAATGAACCAAAATTTTAAACTTCCGTATATTTGTTAAAAAAGCATGTATTTCACCGCGGGTTTTGGAGTTGGATAGCTTTTTTCTTCGTCTCTTAGAAACTAAGCCTTTATTTTGCCATTTTTCAATATTGTACAGGGAATTTTACAAAGTGTGCACCCATGTAAAATTCACAAAATTTTAATTTGGGATTTGGGAAGTATGAGCGTGTAAAAATTTTTTGGACCGTTGGTTACAGCTTTCCTTTGATTAGCTCCTGTATCAGTTTCATCTCAGTGCCGTGCGTGATAAATAAAAAATAGGATTTTTCAGAAATCTTTCTTTGGACAAAAACACTCTAATTTTTAGTGCTTTTTTGCCATGAGGACTTTTAATTATCAAGGATGGTAAAGCTATAGTTAATGTAAGTCATTTATACAAGGTGATTCAAAAGTACTCAAGCTTAAATTTAAAGATTTTTATAATTTGTTTTATTGGGGATAAAAAACAAAGAAAAAGCTACCAATCTTAAAAACCTGTTAAGCCTTAACCTCGCCTTATATCAATACTGTACATGCCATAACACCATAACACAATAATAGCAATAATGCGTACATGCAAATAATACTTGCACCATTGGTTTTTAAAGTTAAGTTGGCTTTCAGATGGTTGCCGTTTTTTACTTTGACGTAATTTAGTGAGAGTGACAGTATAGTCGTTTTAGTTTTCTGTTAAGTATATACCTATTGATTAGTCAGGTTTTCATTTGCCTACGGTTTTAAAATTATGAATAATAACCGCTTTATTACCCCAGAAGACTGTGTCTACGCTAGAGGACTTTTTGAACAGGGTTGTTCGCAGAGCGATATTGGACGAATTATGGGAAACACTCAAGGGCCTATTTCCAAAATTTTAAAAAGATATCTTGAAACTGGATCCAATCAAAGAAGACCAGGTTAGGGCCGGCATAGGAAAACTACTCCTAACTCTGCAGTGTCTCAGGTAACGATTTACAAGCACAACAAAGCTACAGGTGCGTTTGGCCAATGTACATAATGTTAGAGTGTGCAAACAAACAGTTCTTAAACGATTAAAAGAAGCCCAGCTGCAACCCTACGAGGCAGCGATTGGACCAAAGTTAAACAGATACCAAAGGATTCAAAGACTCCAGTTTGCAATTTCGTGGGGTGAACGAAAATTGTCTAACGTTTTATTTAGCGAGGAATCCCGGTTTTGCCTTTATAGTAATGATAGACGCGTAAAAGTGTATAGAAGACATGGCGAACGGCATGCAATTTTATAGGGCATGTTAGTTACGGAGAAGGTTCAGTAATGGTTTGGGGAGATATTTCATTAGGGAAAAAAACGGACCTAGCTTTAGTAGAACGTTTAACGGCTGACCGAAACATTGCGGAAATTCTGCAAGAGCATATCTTACCATTTGCTCCATTTATTGGGGAAGACTTCCTGTTCATGTACGATAATGCACGACCGCATACGGCAAGAGTAGTAAAGGAGTATTTAGATGAAACTGATATTGCTGTAATGGACTGGCCAGCCCGAAGCCCAGATATTAACCCCATTGAGCATTTGTGGGATAAAATGGGTGTTGAGGCACCTAATCCGCCAGAAACGTTGAAGTAAGTATAATGGGCTCTACAGCGTATATGGAATAATATTGACCCTATGTTTATACGGAATTTAATACTTAGCATGCCGAATCGCTGTCAGGCTGTTATTGATGAACGTGGAGGAAACACCCGTTATTAATTTTTTTGTTAATTAATTTAGTTTTGTATTTTCGTCTTTGTTTTTTATTCGCAATAACTCAATAAAAGAAATTATAAAAAATCTTTAAATTTAAGCTTGAGTACTTTTGAATCACCTTACCATCCTTGATAATTAAAAGTCCTTATGGCAAAGAAAGCACTAAAAATTAGTGCGTTTTTGTCTAAAGAAGGATTTTGAAGAACCCTATTTTTTATTTATCACGCATGACACTGAGATAAAACTTTTTTGTCTAAAGAAGGATTTTGAAGAACCCTATTTTTTATTTATCACGCATGACACTGAGATAAAACTGACACAGGAGCTACTCAAAGGAAAGCTATAACCAACGGCCCAAAAAATTCAATTTTTACACGCTCGTACTTCCCAAATCCCAAATTAAAATTTTGTGAATTTTACATGGGTGCTCACTTTGTAAAATACCCTGTATAATATTGGCAAATGGCAAAATAAAGGCTTGGTTTCTAAGAGAAGAAAAAAAGGCTATCCAACTCCAAAACCCGCGGTGAAATACATGCATTTTTAACAAATATACGGAAGTTTAAAATTTTGGTTAATTTTTAATTATTCCATAAATAATGGACGGAGTGTAATAAAACCATATCAAATTTGAAAACACTATATGTATAGTTTCCGACTTAAGTTGTTTTTATGACAGAATGTTATTAATTTTTATCAAATGTTAAGCATTCTGCATTATTTTTTTGTTAAACAATGTATTTTACTTAAATACTTAACTATTTGGTAAACAGAACATCGTGATACTTAAAGAACTTGTTTAGAAAATAATATTTTTAAATGACAACACTTAAATATTTTATCTTTAACATCAAGTATTTTGGCGTTTGATAATAAGAAAGTTTCAAATAATGTTTGATTTAAAATTACCTGAATTGGATATGTGTCGTCAACCCTGGCTAGTTTTATTTATACCTTATATTGTATAAACTATACAAGGTGTTCCGCATAAGTACGTACACAGAAAAGGTGTTTGTTGGACATTTCAAAATATGATAATTTAATGCAATTTTACTCCATACAAAGTTGTAAGGAGTTGCGTAAACCTAAAATGGGGCCATAAATTTCGAAAAAATATATGTCTGCAACCGTTTATCTTATAATATCTATATTTGGTAAATTATTTAGGCGCTCATAAGTCTTAATTTAGTAAGAATTATTTGAAATATTTTGAGAAATGGTTTTGAGGTAACCCACAACTATGCAGATTTTTTTTGTCCATCGGCCGATTTTTAAAGTTTTGATATCATTTTATGCAAAATTGTGTTAAATTTTTTTACTGATTTTATTTTTTAATAAACTTTTTCGAGAATAACGAGAAAAATAAATACAAAAATCAGTTGAAACCTTAGTTGGTCATGCATTTCCTAATTAAATTTAACAAATAGTATATAACTTTTAATAAAATCGATTTATAACAGAACACAATTAAACTAATAATAATAATATCTACATAATAACACAAATTAAGTAAATAAATATCTAAAGAAATTTTTGGAAATGATCGCCATTTTCTCTAAGGCACAAATTTATTCTTTGCCGAAAATTAACATTATCAATAAATTTTCCGTATTTTTTATAATATTACATTTATGCACAATGCGATTTTGCGATTTCACAATAATTCTCGAGATCCAATTGGTGAAGAATAAACAAATTCCTTTATCGTTACCCAAAGAAAGTAATCGCATTGTTGAGATCAGGTGATCGTGTTGGTCAATTTTGTGAACTGTTATTTCCTCATCCTATTAATTTATTTGGGTACTGGAAATTTAAATTATTGGCATGACTAAAATGAAACGGTGCTCTATCATGCAATATTAATACAAAAATCAATCAAAACTTTAGTTGGCCATGCATTTGTCAATTATATTTGAGAGTTCATAAATAATTTAATTTAATAAATTTCTTTTGACCACGGCGGGTAATTTTTCCTTCGATGAACAAGTTGACATGTTATTAGTATTAGGTTTTTGCGAAGGAAACTGGAGAAGAAGTATTAAGGAATATCGAAAGAGATTTCCTAATCGTGTGGTGCCTCATAGAGAAACATTTTCCACTATTGAAAGGCGGGCTCGAGAAACGGGAAGATTTTCAAATAATACTCCAGAACGTCCCATCAAAATTAGGGTACAAGAAGAAAAAAATGTTTTGAAGATAACTGAAAATTAACCGCAAATCAGTACTAGAACTTCGACGTACAAGGATACAGCTAATAATTAAACGTAATTTACTCCATCCGTGCTTAAAAATTGCAAAGATTGTTGCCTTAAGGTAGTTCACTCGTAAAACGGCTTTTCTTAAGAATTCAATAAAATTTAAATATAAGGTTTATGAAAGTGTCGTTTACGTAACTTAAATAAATTCGATTTTTTTGACCGTCTGCGAAACGAGATATTAACAATCAAAATGTGCATAATTAACACTCTTCAAACCTATCATGTACACAGGCAATGCATTTATTTCAAGATATCTCGAAAACGGTTCTTACCATATTTTTTTAAAAACTAATGTTAAATAAATCAAGAAGTTATAAAATTTTATAAATAATCGCTGAATTTTTTGACCGTCTTAGTAAAAAGATATAGATTTTTAATATAAAAATATTTTTAAAGCAGTTGACGAGTAGTTTCGTAAAATTATTACAACTTGGCAACATTGTAGCCACTTCACGTATCAAAGTAACAGTTGATCAGCTAAGAGGTTGTTATAAACTCGCGACGTGTTCTTGAAAAATTAATTCTTCCACTGTATTTGAGAACTGGAATTGACGGTTCAGTTTGAACCAAAATAAACCCTTAAAATTAGTATGAGGAAGTCACAAATTTCTATACCATATCGTTTAAATATTTGCGAGATTGCCGGATGAATTTAATTAAAATTAAAACATGTCCATATGTGTTTATATACATGTGTTTTGTACAGTCTCTTACAAAAATAAAATTGATTAGCATTGAGAATCTCGAACTTTTGGTATTCACCATTATGCGATATTTTTATGTATGTACGACTGTCGCGAGTGAACTAGATTTAAATTTACCTTAAGATTTAAATGAAAGGGTGACCTTCTGTCAGTTTGTTCAACGTAGTATTATTAATTTTTACCGATGACGCTTCTTTCACCCGCAGAGGAATTTCAAATCTGCATAACTACCATTAATGAATTCATATTTACAGATTTCAAATTATTATGCCAGGTTGAACTTTTGATGTACAGTTCAACATACTTTCTGTCTATCTATCTGAATTAGGGCGTGGTTCAAAGCCCACTTGTACTGAAGCTCTAGGCTTATTGTACCCCTCACAGTTTCAATCCCATCAGATTGATTTTCTTGATGGGCGCTTCCGCGATTTCTTCAGGTTCCGGATATTGTACCCCGAAGTACCATTCCCGTTCCCATTTAAGGTTCCGACAGTGGCATAGTATGTGAATAGGAGTTTCGTCCTCCTCTTCACATATTCTACATAGGGAGTCATCAGATATCCCTAAGAGATTTAGGTGTCTTCTAAGGCTGCAGTGTCCTGTAAGGAGTCCTATTATGGCCTTGAGTTCGCTTCTGCTAAGGTTTAGCAGTTGATTTTGTCTGCTCGTGGATGGCTCCTCTATGAATCTTTTGGACTGTCTAAGTCCAGGAAGTTCCATCCAGAGCCTATGGCGTTCTCTATTTATTTGTTCCTTTAACACCCATTTATCATGTTGGTATGAGATACCACATGTGGGTTCTGGTCCAATAAGAGTTTTTTCTGCTCCCTTTTTTGCTAGGAGTTTTGCTTTCTCGTTTCCAAACACTCCCTCATGTCCTGGCACCCATTCAAGGGTGACCTTGTTATGTTCTGCCAGGGCTTGGAGGGACTGTTGGCAATCAAATATTGATTTAGATTGTACTTCTACCCTTTCAGTACTTTAAGGGCTGCCTGACTGTCTGTCATGATAAAGATCCTCTTCTCTCTAAGAGAGTCATTAAGCATGACGTTGGCGCAGGCATTTATTGCTATTACTTCAGCCTGGAAGACTGTTGTCAGTGACCCCAGGTTCAAACTAATTGTCCTCCCTGAGTTCACATGGTAGATCCCAGCTCCTATGCTGTTTTTCATGCTCGAACCGTCTGTATACCAGATTGATTCGTTTTGTTTTTCCCTATTTTCCCGGCTTTTTGCTCTTTCTGGTATTTTATTATCAAAAGGTTTCCTGAAGTCATAAATAATGGGCGTTCTACTCGATGGCATTCTTAGTACCGGATTTTGTTTTAATTTCTCTAATATCATTGTGTGGTGTCCTTTTCTCGAAAGTTCCCATCCCAATCCATTAGTAAACAGCCTGTATGCCGCCGCCATAGCCTCCTTCTCCACCACAAGGTGTAGTGGAGGAAGACCTAGTAGTAGCTCCATTGCTGTTGTAGGCGAAGTTCTAAATGCCCCTGTTATTATTAGACAGGCTAGTCTTTGCACCTTGTCTAATTTTCTGTTAGCTGTTATGCTTTTAGTCTTGTGGCATCATATGACTGATGAGTAAGTTATAACAGGTACTACAACCATAGTGTAAAGCCAGTCAACAGGCCCTTAGTATTCTTACAGCTTTTTATGTTGTTTTTTCTATATAGCTGCAGAAGCTAAGCTTGTCATCGAGAGTGATTCCAAGATATTTAACCTCCTTTGCCATTTTTAGATGTTGTCCCCACATATAAAGCTCCTTCATTCCTTGAAGGTTCCTTTTTCTTGTGAATGCAACAACAGAGGTTTTTGTCGGGTTTGTGGACAATACCTCTTTTAGGCACCATCTTTTGACGATATTTAGTGCCCGCTGCATCCTTTCGGATACAACAGACCCAAATTTACCGTTTACTACGATGCTTATGTCGTTTGCAAATGCTTGCATGTATAAGTTTTCTCTCTCTAACACTCCTCCCTGCGGGCATCCCTTGTTAACTGAAACCTCTCTTGTTGTGTTAAGGAGATTACTGGTAACGGTTCTATGATTAAGCATGAACTTAATCCACCTCGTAATGCAGTGGGCTACTCCACGCCTGTGCATAGATCCCAGTATTGAATTGTATGAAGCCGAGTCAAAGGCTCTTTCTATATCTAGGAAGACTCCTAGTGCCATTTCTTTACTTTCCAATGCTTGTTTAGCCTGTTGAGCTAGCCTATGTATGGCTGCATCGCAATACTTTCCAGATTGGTAGGCAAACTGGTATTGATGTATCGGTTTATCCCGTAGAACACCGTCCCGTATATATCTATCGATCAATTTCTTCAATGTTTTTAGGAGAAATGATGTTAGGCTGATTGGTCTGAAAGATTTGGTCTCCTCGTAAGACGCTTTCCCGGGTTTAGGAATGAAGATCACTCTTGCACACCTCCAGCTTTGTGGAACATATCCGAGGGCTATGCTAGCTCGGAATAGTTTACACACTGGTCCCTCCAGTACTTCCTGATTCTTTTGTAGAAGTGCCGGGATTATACCATTAGGTCCAGCTGTTTTGTATGGTTGAAAGGAATTTATTGCCCACACAAGTTTTGTTCTGTTTACTATTGAGTTTTGGATGCAATTCTCGACCATATTATCAAGGCCACACAAACATTGTTTACTATCCTTTCTGTACTACTTTGAGCTTACACCATGCATGCAAGCAAATTTAAAATTGCTTTGTGAATTAGGCAATGTAAGCTGTTATTGGAGAATATTGTGCATAAAATTAAAATTATATATTTTACTTTCTATTGTATAAAAAAAATGTATATACATAAAATCAATAAAATCTAATTCATTAGAATGAATAGATATATCTCTTACTTTAGTAAATCAACAACTATATGAAATTATAATTATTTAGGTATATTAGTGTGTAAGAGTAATGTAAATAAATAACATGGTCGATTCTTCATGAAGAACTCTATATGGTTTATTATCATTAAGTCATTGACTATCAAACTCAATTATGAATAATTACTTATCAAGTAGTAAAAGTGATATGTTTCTTTTAAAAACTTTTTTTAGAGGATGCGGTTTTCTAGGAATATTTCCCTTAGAAGGCAATTCTCTGAAGCGAAATGCTTACTCAATTTTTATTGTTATTTTTAATATAATTGGAATCATGTTTACCCTCTATGAATTTAAAGAATCAAGAAGAATACACAAAATGGAATTACTAGAAATCGGTATTTTTGCACTATATTGTAGTCAGCTTATTTTACTCAATATTTTATGCATGAATGGAATATTTGAGAACAAAAAATCTTGGAAACAGTTTTTTGATATACTAGATAAATTAAGCACAGGAATTTTGACTAAACCAAAATCGACACATGATAAGACTAAATTAATTTTTATTCTAATATTGATATTTTTTATTCAATTTAATCAAATAATATGGTATGTAAGCTATCGAGGATTAACCTTTATTAATTTAATGGCAGTTTTATTCTATATTTCAACGTTTGTAGAAAGCTTTAGTGTAACTATAATGATCTGGAAACTTTCACATATTCTTAGTACACGTTATTCCCTATTAGAAGCATCGTTTTCAGAAAATTGGTTCAAAACAGCAACTGTAAATAAACTACAGAAAATTCGAATTAATTTATTTTTGTTAAATAGAGTAGTGCTTCTGATTAATAATATTATGGGAAAAATTATTTGTGTACTGTTAGCTGCTACGTTCACCAAAATAATAGATTTTTTCAACTTTGTTCTATTTTTTTATAAATCAGACAATGGTTTTGAAATCAATGGAGTTAATATAATAGATGCTCTATTATGTCTGGAGTTAATTGTAAGTATGTGTTATTTTTAGTTTCTCATTAAACAATAACAATATACCTGCACAAATACAGAGTTAAAAGAGTATACATTGCTTATGAACAATACCGCCGAAACGTGGGGCGCACCTGGGGTTTCTCCCCCAGAGTCGTCGCCGGACTTACACAGCTATCATAAGACCTATGCTAACATACGGTGCACTTATCTGGGTACCGAAAACCTAAAAATTAACAGCTATCCGTAAACTCTGACGACAATGACATGCCTCCGCATGGTCGAAATAGAACCTGATGTAGGATCTGGTGAGGCGAGACGTCACTTTTGGCAGGAGGCGCTGGATACGCTCGCTCTGCTTCAAGCGAACATGGACTCCATCTCACCAAAATATATCTTTC